GATTCTTGATGATCTGGAACTCAGATCTGATCCCAGTAGGTTGACAGAGAGCTGTGGTTGGAGTCCATTCTAAATATCTGCTGTGAATCCAGCGTTCTTTTGATGCTTCCTTAGATGGAGAAGGGAGGGAAAAAAATGCTTTCTTCTCGTCCTCTTCATTCCCTTACCCAAAGTCGCGAAGCAACAGGACAATGTAGCAACTACCCCAAGGCCTCTTACTGGGAGGCAGGATCAAACGATTGTTAAGAGCCTTTGGAATTTGACAAGGCTGGATTCACATCCTAGGTCCACAACTTACAAGGTATATTCAGATGGCTTAACCTCTCTGTCCTTATCTATAAATAGAGGGTTAAATACCTCAGGGGGTTCTTGTGAGGATTATGCAAGAAAATATTTTCAAAACATTTGGCACATAGTCAATGCTCAATAAATGGAAGCAGCTGCTCTGGTGATGGTGGTAGAGTGTGTGGTGATACTGAGGATGATAATGCTTTCTCTAAGCTCTTCACCTCTGCTCACTTGTATTTAGTACTATGACATAACACTTAATATTGTGTAATTGAAGTCATAGTAATTGAAAGTAATGAATACTGAGCTTTCTGTATTTCTTTGAAGAAGGAATTTATAAGATTCCTATTTGTCTTGTGTTAAATTGTGCTTTTGTGTAAGAAACAATGGATGATATCTCCCTCTGTGTAGAAGAGAATGAGATACCTCCAAGGCATGAAGTTGGGCGGCAGTGTGTACCTACTTTGCAGTCTAGAGCTATGCTTCATTTAGATATACCAAAATAAAAATGCAATAGTTTCTTTCCTTGCAAATCATGTACTTTTCAAGGAAACGTAAATGCATGAAATGGCAATGCAGTAAATCATCTAGTGCGAAGTTTTATGGTACAAGTTAAGACAGTAAATAGAGAATAGGAGGTAGATGGAATAATTCAAATTACAGGATATGAATCTGGGTATATTTTTGAAGTAAATGAGTTGATTACCAAAGAGCTACATGGTGAAAATCAAAAAAGTATTTTCATAGATCTTGACTCATGCCCAGTGATGGTTCTCACTGTGGTCATAAGCCTGACTTTGAATTAACAACATGAATTTAGTCACCAATGTACTCTTCTTCCCTTCCCAAAACTTTTTTTAAAAAGGTATTTTAACAGGCTTGAGAAGTAGTATGAATTATTTAAGTGCTTTGGTAGTTGACTTTCAGTTCATTCAGTTGATATTTATTGGCTGTCTTGGAATACAGAACTATTGTAGCTGCATTAAGAGGCAGTATGATGTTGCCTGTAGAGCTAGTTGTAAGATCTTGTGACTCAAATCTCCCTGCATCCCAGGTTCCTCATATGTTCAAAATATGATGATAATACTTAGGTCATTTTTCATCTTGTCTGGCATTCTGTTTCTATTTCTTGTGTAGTCTCTGTACACTGAGACTATCATAGCTTCATAAGATATAACCTAGTTGTGGTTATCACTGATTTGAAACTGTTGCTGGAGGTATATGCAAAGGCAGTTTTAGTCATTTAGGTTTGGGTCAGTTTAGGCTTTGTTCCAAATTCTTACCCTGTCCTAGAGATTGGCAGTTTGTTCCTAGAAAGAATCTGCTCCATGAAGAGGGTGAAACCACCAATTTTTATTGCTTAGTGTGTTGATTGTTATTGCCTGGGTCTCTGTTTATCCTTTCTTAGAAAATCTATGGATACCATGGTAGTAATGGAAACCAGAAGTGAAAAAGAGAATGGATAGCAGACTGAATTAGCAAAGCTCCAAAATGCTTTCTAGAATTAGAAAACTATTTAACAATGAAAATATACATTTCTGCAATTATCACTGTGTTTGGAAATAAAGAATTAGCTTGAGGGGAAGTAGGGTGGAAAGTGATTGGAGGACAGTTAAGTAACTCAGTATGTTAGGGTAGTATAACATATGATCATGTATAAGTGCCTTTGGCTCTATTGCTTGATATAGATTGATATAGATTTGTTTCATGTTAAAGTTAATAAGCTGCTTAATATTTTGAGATGAATAATGAGTCTGAAGTGTCAACTAACTTACACTAAATTACACTTCTAATGAGTGGTAGAGATAAAAATTCAAACTTGGGACTTTCTGACTGTGAGCTATCTTATTTTCATTTTATTAGGCCAGTTTCCTTTCTCCTTGGCAATCTGTTTTGACCACTGGAAACAAGCCTTTCAAATGCTGTCTTCTCAGCCTCCAGCTTAATTGGGCTTTTAGCTCTTTGATTTTTACAACATCTCCATATTCAGTTTGTTAGGACCTTTAAGTGTTGGCCTTGGCCTAGATAGTTATGCTGGACCACAGTTTAAAAGTATGCCCCAGCAGATACTCAGTATTTGAAGAGTTGGCTCCTGAACTACAACTGACTTACCTGTTTGGACCTAGTTTTTATGTCTTGGATAACCTGTTAACCCTGTTATTATCTGAATCTGTTTTTGACCAGCTGTTCCACAGTATAAGACAGTATAAAATTTAGTGTTGCTTTTTAGGTGATGGTTTACTGGAAAGATACGGATTTAGGATTGGGTAGAAGTAACAAATAGCTGTATGACTTTGTCTAAATTTCTTAACCTTACAGAGAACCTTCGTTTATTCATCTACAGGAAAGGAATACCAACTGCTTGAGTTGATTGTGAGAATTAAGTGAAATAACATAAGATGTCAGCTGCCTAAGTATAGCACATCTTGGGCATAGAGTAGTGTCCAAGAGACAGTAGTTTCTTTCCCTTTTCTCTGCCTTGTGATCTGCAGTGTTGTCTCTGGACATCTGCTCTAGTCTATCCTCATTTCTTCACTGCACTCCCACTCTCATTGTTGAAAAGCCATAGGGCTTCTCACAACTTTGATCTGCCCCCTCTGATTCTTCTCATGGGGCATAGCCTGACAATTATGTTGAACTCTATGGCTCCTTGGTGATACCTGTTCCAGGTCTCCAGTGGGTTTAGTTGAAAGCATGCCATTTAATATGGATTTCTTTTACGTAACTTTTCTCTTTAGGATTCTTTATGCTTCCATTGCCTCATTTCGACTTGGTCTGTACAGTATTCCCTACTTAAGTATTTCCATTTGTTGTGTTAAATCACCCACAGAGTGTGGGTCTTCAGAACCTACAAACAGAACCATAGAGGAGAAACAGTTTTAGAATGTGTAATATAATAAGTCATTGTTTATTACTGTTATTTTTATTCTATAAAATAGTATTTTAGTCAAATAAAAATTTAGAAGATATTCAGTCTCACAAAATAATCAAAGACAAAAATCATAAAGTATCTCTTGTTTAATTAGTAGAAAAATTTGTAATAGTACTCAGTGCTGGTGATTATGCACTTAAGTGATACTCTAGGAAATATCTAGGGACATTGTAAATCAGAATATACCATAGGAAAAGCAGTTTATAGTTAGATATTTGGAAATCTGGCTTCCACCTGTGTTCCTCTTCACGTATACACATGTGCATTATGAATCACAATACATTGATACCCCTCATTCTAGTAGATTTGAGAAATAACCTTAAAGGAATTATCCAAAGTATATAAAAATTCATGCAAATTTTAAAATTCATTCTGGTATTATTTGTTATATGTTTTTCCATTTAAAACCTGCTAACTTTTGTGGAAGGCCCTGGCCCAGTGAAACGTATGAAAAATAAATATATTAAAAAAAAAAAAACTGTAGTCAGAATCTGGCATTTTCATGAAGACTGACATTACTCTATGACCTACTCTGTTTATAATAGCAAAAGAAAAAAAAGAAAAGAAACAGCCTAAATCTCCAACAACAGAAGAATGGACAAATAAATTCTGGTACACTCCTAAAATGGAATACTGTGGAATAATTAAAGGAATAAACTACAACCACATGTATTTCATTTACAAACATTCACATTCATAACATTGAACCAAAAAAGCAAGTTGTAGAAGGACATCCTTTGTAATACAGAAAGTTTCAAATACATAAAATAATAAAAATATTGTTTCTTATTATATACTTGTCATATAGTATTTTCATAATACAAATGGTATACTCAACACAAGAAATGGTCACCTCTGGGGAGAAGGAATAAAATGATTTAAGGAGGTCATATAAGGGCTGTAACTATATTTGTAATGTTTAGTATGTACATAAGTGTTCATCATATAATTCTGCATATCTTTCTGAATGACTGAAGTATTTCATGATTTCAAAAAAGAAGGATCCACTGACTAATATGAGGACTCAGACTTTTTCAAACTTATCCTGTTTTTCAGACTAGATGATAACAAAAATAAAATGGATATATATCTGGGGAAGAAATGGATATATCTTTCATGATGTATAACTCAGACCTGGAACTAAGATATAATTCACTAGTGTAAAGTGAATCTTTTAAAGAAGATGGTAAAATACTAATTTTAATATCAGTATTTAAAAAATTAGCTTAGAGTGTGTGTTCATAAACCTCAGTGTTTATTTTTTAAGAAAACAAAATTTATCCTTTTAATTATTTTTTTCAGAAAACCATTTTGTTTTAAACCATTCTTTTCATTTTATATGTGTTAAGTCATAAAGTAGTAAACACTTTGGTTTCAAGATAAGTTAGGAATTGTTTACATTTGCTTTTTAAGAATTATGGTATTTTTAGAAGGGACTCTTTGAAATGTATTCTCTGTGGAAACATTCCTTCTCAGTTTAATTAAGATTTTGAATATTGTTAATTTGTTGTTGATTTAGGAAGAAAGCACTTCGTAAATAAATAGCTGGGCTTTATGAATTTTAGCTGAGTGTTATACTGACATGACTGATGGTAATGGAGCTAAATATTTAAGATGTTTGCCATGAGGTGCTATTAATTTCAAAGTTATTTGAATGCAAGGGTTATCATGATGGAGAAAACCTTCAAAGAAATTGCTAATTGAAAAATAAATGATTTTAATTTTCGTTGGAATTTCATTTTAATCCGTCAGCCTTATGATTTACATTCTTGTATTTCAGGGAAAGGTGGCCCAGACAGCATGTATGTCAGCTTGCAAGCATTTAGCCACGTCCTTGATGCAACTTTTGCTGGAAGCTGAAGTAAGGCAGCTCACCTTGGGAGCATTACAGCAGTTCAACTTGGATGTCAGAGAATGTGAACGTAAGACAGTAAACCATTCTTCGCTTATTTGTTTTACCTGCATATTCACTTCTGTGGAAAAAAAAATTTTAGGTCTGTGGGGTTTTGGTCCTAATGGAGTCAAAGAATACTAGAAATAAGAGTCTGTCACCAAGCTAATTTGAACACACAAGAGTGCCTAGGCCCATATGTAGAACAAAGAAGATCCCTGGCATGTAAGTTTGCAGTCTAGAAGGGGATACAAGGCAGACATGCATTTAATACACACCAAAGAAAACCTGATTAGTTCAAAGACTTCAAAGAATGCAGTTCTCAACCATTTCCTTTCTATGTTGTATTTGAAAACTATTTTTTCATCTTATCTGCAAACTCTTCTTAGTCTAAAGAACAAATGGAGTATGCATTTATCAGTCAGAAATGCTTTCTATGACAGGTAGAAACAGAAAACCTTAGACAGAGTGGTTAAACTAAATAGGTTTTATTTTTCTTAGAGGCAGTGAGTTGCTGTATTAATTTAGTTGCTCAGTGATGTCATCAAGGACCCAGGCTCTTTTGTTTCCTCTCTTCTGTCATACTTAGAATTTTCCTCCTCATACATATTATAGTCACAAGGGACTCACATTCAATGCAGGAGGGAGGTGCCAGCATCACCTATTTTTTTATTAAAAAAATTAAAATCTTTTCAGTAAACCCCTAACAAACTTCCCTGTGTGTCTCATTGGTCAAAATATAGTTGTGTGGTTGCCTCCAGCTCTCAGGGAGACTGGGAGATTGAGTATCTGGCAAAGAGAAAGAGGAGCATCATTATTGACATAGTTGATTTATCATGAATTGTCTACTTGGAATTAAACACAAAATCAGGCTCTGGTTAGCAAGGAAGAAGGAACAATGAAGAGTGTTGTGGTGTTCGTTGTGCCATCAGTGAGAAATGAAAATGAACAAAAATGATATGACTCCTGGAAACTTTTTTCTGATTCTAGGAAAATTAAAATAGTGGAAAATTACATGAGTCTGCTAATACTTCTGCCCCACCTTTTAATTTTTTTTACTGTTTATTGGTTTCCCTTGGTTGACTTTTTCTTTTTTTTTTTCTGGCCACACCACACAGCTTGCAGAATCTTAGTTCTCTGACCAGGGATTGAACCTGGGCCCCCTGCAGTGGAAGCACGGAGTCCTAACCACCGGACTGCCAGGGAATTCCCCCGCTTGGTTGACTTTTGATGGCTGGAAATTAAGGCTTAATTGGCTATGCTATTTTGAATTAATTAATTAATTAAGACTTCCAGTTCCAGCCATCACAGGTATCAAGGTCACCCTTTTGCCATAAGCAGCTATAAAACTGGATAAACTGTATGAAACAACTTTTTTCGTGCATTAGACAGCAGAGAGCACAAGGCTATGATCCTTCAGAGGAGAAATGTACAAGGTAAGCTTGACATTTACTCTTGTTTTCTGTCTGGGGGCACTATCCAAACACAGCACAGGAAAGTAGAGCCCGAATAAAAAGCAGTGTTTTGCACAGAAACCACCTCCCACCCCAGAAATTGGCTTATAGGGCTGTTGAGGCAGCTTAGGTTTGTGGAGAAAGGTACCTGAGAGCAAGGAGTTGTTTAAAGAAGTTGCTCCAGAAATCTGCATTGGAGAGCCCTTGAGTCTTTGATCAAGAACCAAGTTGCCATGTGTGGTGTGAAACTCTGGGAGGCTTAGCGGAGAATAGTCACTGAGGATCTATGAGCTGAATAGGAATGCCAGTGGTCACAGAGTGCTAGGAAACACTGGAATTCTGACCAACCAGAGTGGAGAGACCACCTTAACATATTGTGCATTCAGTAATACCCCAGAAGGTTAGGCATTAAAAATGCTATTTAAGCTCTAGAGTAAGAGCTAATCTTGAGCCACCCTAATAAAGTCTAATAAGAAGACTTGACAAGATAAAGGTAATCTGCCAGTAAAGTAACTGCCTGCCAAAACACTCAACAATCTTTGAAGGAAGAGGAACATGAAAAAGTTTTCAGATTCTCAACCATATAGCATCTACAATTTCACATCAGAAAACTAAAATTCGACATACAAAGAAGTAGGAAAATATGACCCATAACAGAAGAAAAAAATAAACAATAGAAATAAACCCACTGATTATACAAATGTTGAAAATAGTGGACAGGGCCTTTAAAAAACTGAATATAAATATATTCAATAACTTAAAGGAAAAAATGGATATAATGCATGACTGGAGGAAATTTTTTCCAGGTTTGATTTAAAAAAAGTATTAACTCACTGATTCAAAAAGCTTAACAAATCTTTAGCAAGATAAACATATAGCCACACCCAGGCACATTATGGTCAGATTGCTAAAATAACAGCAATAAAAGAGAAAATCTTAATAGCAGAAGAAAAGACACGTTATATAATAAAGAGCAATGATAAGAGTTACTGCTAATTTCTTATCAGAAACAGTGCAAACCAGAAGGCAGTAGAGGAACATCTTTAAAATCCTGAAAGAAAGCAAAAAATAAGCCTGTTAACCTTAACCTGAAAACTCTTTATCTTGTGAAAAATATCCTTCAAGCATAAAGGTAAAATATAGACATTTTCAAATAAACAGAAGTTGAGAAAATTTGTCACCAGAAGATCTATACCACAACACATTTAAAAGGTAGTTTTTCAAGTTGAAATTATACTAGATGTCAACCCAGCTCTACAGTGCAGATTACATTGTTCAAAGATGTCTACCACAATATCTCTTTTCCTAGAACCGGGAATCCCGGTTTTTCTTTTTTAATTTTATTTTTTATAGAAGTAATACCTGCTCTTTGTGGAAATTTTGGGAGAAAAAAGTAACAAAAAAATTATCTCATCATTCAGAAATAAGTACAATTCCAGGGCTTCTCTGGTGGCACAGTGGTTGGGAGTCCGCCTGCCATTGCGGAGGACACGGGTTCGAGCCCTGGTCCGAGAAGATCCCACATGCCGCAGAGCAGCTGGGCCCGTGTGCCGCGGCTGCTGAGCCTGCGCTCTAGAGCCAGCGAGCCACAGCTGCTGGGCCCGTGTGCCACAATTGCTGAAGCCCACGCGCCTGGAGCCTGTGCTCCGTAGCAAGAAAGGCCACCGCAGTGCGAGGCCCGTGCACCACAATGAAGAGTAGCCCCCACTCGCCTCAACTTGAGAGAGCCCGCGCGCAGCAGTGAGGACCCAACACAGCCAAATAAATAAATTAATTAATTAATTAATTAAATTTTTAAAAAAAGAACTGGTATCTGAGATTTAAAAAAAAGAAAGAAAGAAGTACATTTCCAGGGATTACATCCAGGCATGATAACATCCAACAGCCACAGAATTGTTTCTAGAAGCCATCCACTGGATTCTTTGCATCTAGTTAACCAGAATTGTTTTACATGGCTCTGTCTTAACCAATTACTTCCCAGGAGAATGAAAACATAATGATTGGCTAAACCAGTCAAGATTGATTCTTAATGTTGAATACAAAGTCATCATTTTCTGAGTCTTGAGGAATAGTAGAACCTCATTCTGATATAAATAAAAGGGAGAAAAAGGCTTTGGGGTAGGTGACCAACCATTACCAGTGGTTGAACGGCAAAGCCTGATGAATGATTGGAAATAACTCAATCAAAATGACTGCATTTTTGATAGAGCTAAAAGGTGAAGAGGGATGGAGGGTAATAAGCTAAAATATATGAGCCTTGAGGAGGAGGAGTAATGGTCTGAGAGAAGCACTGATGAATAAGGGAAATGCCCATCTTATAGCCTGATTCTGAAGTACATTTTTTGTAGAAGAATGAACAGCTTCTATTTTAGAGCACTACAGGCTAATTGGTATCCTTAGCAGAGAGCCAGCTTTCAGTTGACTAAGAGGTAGAGAGATCATTTAATGAAAAGGTGGAAACTATGAAAATAGTTTGTTAACTATGGCAGAGGGGTTCCAGAGAGCCAGCATCTTGCCTGAAAAGCCATTCAATATTTGTAATAGCCTTTCAGACTTAGGATCAGCTTGACACTAACATTTGTGAGGCGTGGCAGTGTCTCTAATAACCATATTACCACTGAAATTTTTTCCCCATATATTTAGAGCCACTAAAGTTCATTGATTTAGAATTTAATGTTTCATTTCTGATTGGCATTAATTTGTCTGTCAAAAAACTTTCCATGGACATTTATTTTAATTTAAAAGAAAGAATTCTATGTCTTTTGCTATACCATCCCCCTCATTTTCTTCTTTACATGCTCAGTGGTCTATAAAAAATCTTAAAGAAATGATACATAAGATTCACATAACTATACAGAGGCGTATAAAAGCAGCCCCAAATGACAAGATAATTAACACTTACATCTTTCTACCCAGTGGTGTGTACGTGAGGTATTTTTGCTATTGTCTGTGAGTCATTGGAAGAACTGTGTATAGGTCCTGAAAGAAATAAAACTTTGGACAAGATAGAATGTGAATGTATCTTGAGTGTTTGACTCTGAGGCCTGGGCTGCCACTTTGTTAGATCCCAAATACATACGGGAATTATATGCATGCAAGCCTGAGATATTCAGCTAGTATAGTGTAGTCATTAAGAACACAGATTTGCGAGTCAGCTCAATCAGATGTTCAAGTCACCACTTCTTTTTAGTGTGACCATATATAAATTATTTAACCTCTCACAGCCCCATTTATGAAATAGGAATAATAATAGAACCTAATATTACAGGAATGGGGTCAGAATTAAATGAGATAATGCATAAAAGGGTTTATTTCATGGCTGGCAAAACATTAAATATGCAATAAGGAGTAGCTTCTACTGTTATCATTACCAGCAGCAGCAACAACAGTAGTAATAAATATACAGCAACTCTCAGAAGGTCTTTTGCAGACCACGCAGACCTTTGTCTGTAGTTTGTGAATCAGTTAGGTTTGGAGATGCCCTTTTATTCAATGTAAGTTTTGCTTTTTGTAGTTATCTGTCGAACTTCTGTAGCTGTTCTGAAAGTTACCATCCAGAACTGATGATTTTCTAATT